ATATTATGTCAATATTTTAAACATAAGCATGATATATTTTAATACATTTTTATATAATTACACACAACAAATTTGCTCAAATTGTGATGTGTATACAGATCATCCTGGTATCTTGTAAAAGTTTTGTTTCTGAATTAGTAGGTGTAGGTCAGAGACTGAGATTCTTCATTTCTAACTACCTCCTTAACTAGTTTCGAACTATCTTCTTGCTGCTTGTCCTCAGACCATACGTAGAGCAGCAAGGTCATGGGGTGTGGGCTTCAACATGTTTTATTGATAGTGATGCACAATCAAAAATATTTGGAGGTAACTGGGGAATGAATGGACTACACTTCCTTCAGGTTATCTTCCCCAACTACTGCTTCTCTCAGTGGAGTTTTTGGTAAGTACTATAAACAAATGTGAACCTGAAACAGCCAGTTCTTCAAGATGGATCCTGAGTGGCTAACTGGGCCTAAATTTTAAATACAGCTAAATGGTCATTTGCTGACTAAAAGTCACATGTACTCTTGAATTTCTCAAAAATCTACACCTCCGTTCAACTTTGGTACTTCCAGAGTGCGCCTGAACCAATCAATCAGAGTTCACCTGCCGACAGATCAGGCCTCTGCTGCCTCAACCAGTCAGAACTCACTTGTATCAATTCATCACAATTAAGAGAGTTTGAGTCTTTCATTTGCATAAATTTTGCTATAAAACTCAAACACTTTGCTTTTGCTTTGTTTTCCCTTTGCTCTCTGGAATGCACCTTCTTTTTTTGCACCTATGGCTATCCCTGGTCTGCAAATAGTTCTCCGAAATAAAGTTTCTTCCCTCCAAACTCATTTTCAGAAAACTTTTGTTCACAGTGCTGAGCTACAGTGACTGTGGTTCTACTCTCTGACAGGTACCTGAATGCAGCTAATCTCTGCAACTTTACCAGTCAACTGAGCTGGGATAAAATTAATATCCTGTGTGTAAACTGATGTGACCAACAAGGGAACATGTTCCAGCATGGAGCTGAGGGATAATACAGTGTTGCTTTTGCCTCATAAGACTGATTGTGAGGATTACATGAGATAAGATATGTAAAGTACTTTGCACATATAATGCTCAATAAAGCGTAGCTATTATTGTTGGAGGTATAGCTGCCTGTGGACTGGGCCAAGATTCTTTTCAGAAAATAATTTTGGGTCTTCTTCAACACCAAGACAAATAGTCCATCAAAACCCTGTCATAAAGTATGACTAAAAAATTTTAACTTGGAAATATTTTAAAGTGATTATAACTCCTTCAGCTATTAAAACAAACAACAACACACAAGTTCAGTAAGCACCCATATATCCCCTGACTTTGAGAAATATAATTTATTTTTGTCATCTCAGATAAACTAGTTGTAGAATATATCCTGAGGTACTTATGCTATGGAATTATTTGTGTTACTCACTACCAAGAAGTTAGGAAAATCTACTTAAAATGACAAAATTGTTTTTAGGAAAATTGACATGTATGCTTTCTTTCTTGCAATAATTATCTGAGCCATTTGTTTGCTAAGACCATTCTTAGTTTGTGATAATAATATCAACATATAAGAGAATTCTTATGTTTCTGTTCACATGTTTTGTTAATGTGGACTGATTTCATATTTTAAATCAAATGCAGTTTCATCAAATGCAAATCTGGTACACTTTGAGACATATAAGGACGCTTTCATTGTAAGAATCACATTTCTCTGGTTTTTTGTTTTGTTTTGTTTAAGTCACTCTATGTGTGAGTTCATCATCAATTAGAATTAAAATCATCTATACGTTCTCAAATATCCATTGGCTTGTTTGGTTTTAACATTGTAACCCTCAGAATCCAGGTTTGTGGTTTTCCCTTTTGATGTTTGAAAGGTGAGCTTTCACACAATATATTGAGTATCCATGAGGCTAGTGCCTTTGGAACCCAGAGCTGGGCTTTCCCATGTTGGCAAGCAAAACAGTCCAAGGCTATTGAACATTTTCCAACCGTAAATACCGTAGCATGTCAGGCCTCTTTCTCTAGATACAGACTTGCATTTCTATATATATATTTTTTTTTTTTACATGACTCTTTTTTTCTTATGGGACTGTGCAAGTTTCTCCCTGATTCTACCTTTCTACTTTTTCTGTCATATGTCTCATTCTTCACCACACTTCCCATCTCCCCTCCTAATCCCTTCTGTCTTTAGTTGAGTTCCATGAGGGCTGAGACTGTGTCTCTTTTATTCACTGCTGTATTTCAAACACTTAGCATAGCACTTGGCACAGATAATTTGTTAAATCAATATTTGATGAAGGTTTGAATAAAATGTTATGGCTGGGCTGGGCTTGGTGGCTCAGCCTGTAATCCTAGCACTTTGGGAGGCCAAGGTGAGTGGATTGACTGAGCCCGCAGGTTTGAGACCCATCTGGGCAACTTGGCGAGACCTCGTCTCTACAATAAATCAAAAATTAGCCAGGCGTGGTAGTGTGCACCTGTAGTTCCAGCTACTTGGAAGGCTGAGGCGGAAGGATCGTAGGAGCCCAGCAGATGGAGGCTGTGGTGGCTGGAAGCGTGCCACTGGACTCCAGTCTTGGTGACAGAGTGAGACTCCAACTCAAAAAAAAATATTAAGGCTGAATTTCCTTTGGTTGATTCATAATCTGTAAAATACTCATTACTCTATCTGATTTTTTTTTCTTTAGAATAAAGTAGTTCAATTTAAGAAGTCCCAGAACAGGAGCAAATAGACACATTAATTTTGTGGGACAACAAAAATAATGAAGAGCATGGCTGCTTGTTTCAAAGCAGGTGAGTGAACAGGACAATCTTTCCCTATTTACAGATGCTGACTTGAGTTCCTAACTTGCATATTGATGTAACAACAGGCCAAATATTGATTTTTAATGTAGGAATGAATATTTCTTCCACATGTTACTCAATATTCATCAAGCTAACCATTACTATCAAAATAGACACACTATCCATGCTCAAATTAAGGAAATCCAAAGAAAGAAGGACCTTGTATCCTTTTTTGTATAAATGTTAAAGGTACAAGTGAGGTTTTGAATATTTTATAACTTTTATTACTCTTCCTTGGCTTCTCAGATTTCTCCCGGACAGAGAGAAAAAGTCAGACTGAATAGCTTGTGTTTATATAAATCCCAATCCATGTGCCCTCTGACTCGCCACATGATTGAGTGGGTGGAAGCACGCACATGCATTGTGCCAGTGTGTGCATAAATGCTTTCACATGTAAGAGAAGAAGCAGGGTGACAGAGAGAGAGCAAGTCACAAGTTGTCAGAACTCTAAATTGAAGTTTTGTTTTGATCAGGGCCCTGGAAAACCAGAGCCACATGAAGTCATGGCCCTTAACCACCACCTCTCCCACACACTGAGGGGAGAATTCAAATGCTCACTGTGGTCAACCAGTCAGATTACTTTTTGCCCGCTCCCTCCCTCCATCCCAGCCACCCTGGGAGCCCTCTCTAATATGGTTGAAGCTGACAGAAATTCTCGAGTTTAAGATCAGGTCTTCACCACCTTTCTTCTTACACTGCCCCAAAACTTGAACCTCCCCGGATTTAGCAAAAAGTGTAGTAGGTGCTCAATAAATGTACACAGAATAAATTAGTGCATGAACAAATGTTGCTCTGGACAAAGCTGCAGCTTCCACATTCTGCATAACTGCACACAGTACTGACCCTGAAGATAGAAAAAGCAATACAACTGATGCTGTAAGAAAATGTTTCTTGTTTATACTGCTGCATCTTGATCTTTGGCTGATGTAAGCACAAAGAGAGCTCTTTCAATTCAGAGAAAGGAGGGATATGGTGTGTGGGAGAGCTATGAACAATGGGCTCAATTGATAGACTGGAGATGCTCTCGGCTTCTGAGAGCTTGGAAACTCCATCTATAGATCCATCCCAGAGGGCAGAGCCAAATAAGGGCAGATGGAAAACACAGCTTTCTTGGGAACTGGCTTTCAGCTCCTCTGAGGCAAAAAAATACATTCACTCTGTAGCACCCTGAATCAATTCTCCAGAATATGGTGCTTGTTTGCCAGCATCTAAAAATAAGTCTTTGTCGTATTTTTTATTCTTTTTGTCTTAAAGTCATTCAACCAGACTTGCTTGTGGAATATTAATTGTGGTAAAACAGAAATCAGGAGATTAAATTGAAGCTACTTTTGAACAAAGCTACTTAACTGATGACTGACTTGTGCCCCTAGCTAAAGTTTCCTTTCTCTCCAATCGTATTCCTTGTCAGCTGCAACTATGAGACAATGAATCTACAGCTAATTGTTAAGCAGCTCTCTTTAGGCTACTAATCAGAGTGTTGTCCAAGAGTGCCAACTCTTAACTTAGGCTTGTGACAGGGCTTTAATGTTGTGTCCCAGGTGGGTTACTGGGTTGGCCATCCATGGTGGCAGATGTCATTAATTCATTTTAATACTGCCCTGCCACAGCCTGTTTACATTTACATTGCCTTTGTCATATCTGTTTGCCCTTTAAATATTAAACATTAAATCTTCCATCTGGTACTTTCCAGATAAAACTAAGTAATAGTCATGTATGAAGCACTAAGGGATCATTCCTGGAATATCCAAGCATTTCAAAGAGAAGGTAACAGCAACTTAAACATAAAAGCACCAGAGACTGGGGAACCACTATGGTGTTAAAGAAGTAGCCATATTTGACTCTGAATTAGAAAAATACTCTGAAACCCAAATTTAAGGAGAAAAGGAACTTTTAAATAGGCAATACACTGGTATCCATACCTGAGTTCTAGCCCATACTCAGATATACACTTATTGGGTTTCTTTGGGTAAATTACTTTGCCTCTCTTAGTATCGCCAGCTATAGAAATAGAAGTGATCTATTCATCTACTATTTATTTCAGATAAGTATTGTGAGAATGACTTGGATGACCTGAAAAATAAATGAGCTCCTCGAACAAGGTATCATTATTGTTTCTATTATGAAGTGAAATGAAACAATTCACTCAAAAGACAATGTTTGATTGAGAACTTTCTTAATTTTATTTTCTTTAATTTTATAAAATACATTTTGCAAGATAAGTTTCTAATAGTTTATCCTTTATGTGTGTTAAAATTGCAATTCTATATCAGAAATGAAGGAAACACTTTCAGTTGATTAACTCTCTTTGTGTGTGTATATGTGTGTATGTGTGCATGTGAGGTTTTCAGGGAAGGGCTGGTTATTTGTTATGTTATTAAATCAAAACAAAACAAGGTATGGATACTTCACTTTCCTTGATCTTGATTGGTTTCTTACAGAACATTTTCCCTCTATGCAGCCTGGAAGCTTTGTATACTTGTCTGAAAACAAATATCAAGTGTCTTTTTGTAAAGCCCTTACATCTCTTTAAACATTACTGAAATCACTTGGGAAGAGGAAGAATATGAAACTCTATAACAAAAAGGCTACAATAAAAATATGTCCTTCAGTAAAAACCAATCAGACTTTTCTTAACCCCAAGTTAGCAAAAACAGGAAAAGACTGAAATCTAGGACCTATTCAGGTTTCAAAATCGTTTTGCCTGTCCTTTTCTGTGAACGCTTATCAACTGAATAGCTGACGGCTGGTGAATTCTGTTATTTGGTCTCTACCAGAGGAAAATAACCTTTATGTCAAACCTAACTCTTAACACACCAAGATAACATTGCTAAGTAAAATCATTTTCCATTAGCTAGAAAGAATGATCAAACAGGTTATTCAAATTGAGTTTCAAATTCACCAAATCTGTTTCTGCAAAGGGCAGAAAACTTGTACAAAATCTCAATAGATTTTGACTATCCAGTTTTTAATATCATTTGTGATGCTTAATGCCCAATTTTCCTTTTTTAAGAATCATAATCAAGGAATCACTCTCCAGACCTTTCTGATACAATCCCAAACCAGTGATAAACAAATTGGAATATGCGAAATATGCATCTTTCAGAAACAAATCAAGATCTTCAAATCACCTACTATGACTGAATGGATAATACCCCATGAAAAGAGCACCATTGTGAAGATATGACAGAGGCTGGAGTACACAACTAATTAACAGAAAAAATACATACCATTCAAAGAGTTATCTACCCTGTGTCTACCAGAGGGCCATCTCAGGTTACACCATTAGCCACCAGCAACTGCTGCACCTTAGGCCAGTTTTTTTTCACACATGCTAGTTTCCTTCTATTCTCAGCTCCTTGGAAACCACAGGGTTGTCATGGTAGCAGTTAGCAAGAAAGGAGTGAGAAGATGCTGACAATGACCTGTTTCTCTTCCCTAACGAGGTGTAAGACCAGATGCCCCCTTTGTCTACACAGACACTGTGCTCCCTTATACTATAAGCGAGGTTGGCTGAGTTAGGACTTAAATAGTCCATCACCATTGGGGTCAGCGCTCTCTTTCTATGGATGAAAGATCCTTGCTTTGACCCCATCCTCCCAGCTGCAATAGGCAGATTTGGGCAAATGCTCTTATTGTTTTTGCTGGCATTTTTTTTTTCTTCTATCATCAGTGGTAATAGGGAGACAGAAGTGAGTTCTCTGTTTTTTACACTGATGAGAATATATTTGTTTCCCTATAGATGGCAAGGAAACCAAGGACATTCCTTCTCTCTACCTGAGCATCATTCTTTCCACTTTGTTTCCATCAGTGGAAGTACTCTTTGAAAGGAAAGCACTTCCTGGTCCTCAAGAGATGCTTGAAAATTCAATCTGAGCCTCCATTCCTTTGTGACTTGTAATTGGGGAGTCACCTTCTTAGGCATTTCTCATTTCTAGCAGGAACCAGCTGTGAAGCAAAATCACTAAAAGAGGTACATAAGAGGGAAGAGTCCACAGAGAGACCTAAATCACTGCAAGACTCTCCTTTCTTGTTACACTCGTCAAGTAAGAAGAGGGCCAATCAGTGACAAAGGCAAAGAGTTAAGATGGGAGACGCAGCATTGTAGGCTATGTGGTTAGAGCCTTGCTATTAGAGGAGGGGAATTCTACAGGGGATCAGAACTTGGTGCCTCGGCCCATGAGTTTAAGGACGGCAAAGTTGTAAGTGGCAGCAATCATGAAGGTGAGCTGTAGGGAATAGAAGAGAGAGCATGAGTGGCAATGAAAAATGATACACTCACTCCTCAAATCCTTTTGGAAATGAGGAAGGGTAGAAATAAAATCATAACTAAATAAATAAAAATCCCTGCTCTGCAACAAACAGCACACTCCAGACTTTTTCCCTATACACTTGACTAGAAGTCTTCTCTGAGATTTGTCCTTCCAATAGCCCACACCCAGAGAATTGATTCACTAAGGATTTATTCCACACCTATGCTTGGTCTAGCGCTGAGTTTTCCTCAGGGAAGTGAATTATACATGGGCTCTGTCACAACCACATGCTTGAGTGGCTTGGTGTTACAAGGAGCTTGCTGTAGACACACAACCACACCTTGCAGCATAGCCCTCCCCCGTTTAATGCATTAATTCATTTTACATGGCGAGAAATTATTCAATTCTGTATAAAAGTCTCAGCAGTAGGAGGCAACAGTTTGGTGAGCTCATCCTTGTCTGATTTCCACTTATGCAATGATTTCAGATAAATCACTTCACCCTTCAGTGCTTTAGGTTTTTAATCTGCACAATGAACACACTACATTGACACTGCACTGTAACACTCTCAACAAGGCCTGGGACATGGGACTGTATTATAGTCAGAACAATTCTACGAATGTTGGACGATCCTTCCAGTATTTCCACTAGAATAACTAAATTCATTGGAGAATATCCAAAATGGATTCATACTTATAGTATATAGAATTCCAGGATATAGCAAATCATGTTTAGTGATGTTTCAGTGTTTTGTCATTGATTTGACCAGAATGTACTGAGAATTAACTTGAATTTATGACTGCAAAGTACTGGGCAATATTACATGCTCTGTAAATGCTAAATGTTATCATTTGTGGCTATGAATCTTTTATCTCCTCTTTTCTCACACCACTTTTCTTATTCCTGTCTAATTTCTGAAGTTTTCCTGCCTTGCCAACCCAAAATAGAAGTACACAGTCTCTACATTTCGTTGTCTCTTCCCAGAAGCTTCTCTCCAGCATTTCAAGGTTGGAAGGAATCTATCTCCTTGTTTTTCAGCATAGCTGTATCCATACTATCTCAGGCCCATTTATTTGCCAAGATCATTCAAAGACAACTCACCAGGGAAACCAGTGTGGCTGCAGCCCCCACAAATGCAGCAATAAACAGATGGAAGGTCATTTGGAACTGCAAGAGAGAGAATTGTTTCTTGCAACAGCAGAAACATACCCCACTATAAATTATGAATTCAACTTTTTGAGTCTGTTGATATATTTTCTGTGTTAATTCTGCATCTCTAACTAAATTTTCACTTCCTTCGGTATAGGCCTTCCATTCTTCAGTGTACACCATAGCACCTGGCCCCAAAACTCTCAGAACACAGAATATTCATAAAATAGTGTAGTGCTCCCGAATAACTAGCTAGTTCCCTACAGCTATGCCCTAGGCTGGGGCCCAAATTTTAAAGTCAATATTTAGGGATTTTTTATTGTTTTTGCTTTTGTTTAAAGGTGATCTCACTCTGTCACCCAGGCTAGAGTTGCAGTAGCATGATTGTAGCTCACTGCAGCCTCCAGTTCCAGGGCTGAAGTGATCCTCCTGCCTCAGCCTCCCACAGAGCTGGAATTATAGGCATGAGCCACTGTGCTCAACCTGCTTTCAAAGAAATAATTTATTGCCTTCCTTCCCAGGATTTACTTTTATTCCCCTGTCTCATTTGTGTATAATATCCAATCTCAATGTAGTGTACTTATTTTATCTCTCTTTAGAGATTAAGAAGTTCCAAACTGAAAATATTTTTAAAAATCTATGAATGTCTCTGTGCACAGCTCATTCTCTTGATAAGGCTTTTAACTAAAAGAATGAAAATGTTCATTAGGGAGATTTTTCATTAGGTTCTATCTTTACCTAAAGCTACATATTTCTCTTTTAAGGGGGGAAGGTTTGGAATTAAAGTCTTTATATGTAGCTCTAGAGAAAACAGGTGCTTTACCTTCTATGCTCACTGGTTCAGGCACACTCATTCAATATTTTGTAGAAGTCAATGTGTTAATTCTAAATCCAACAAAGAGACACTTTCATCCTTAAAACTGAAGGTCATGGGAAGAAATCTGTATGGTATTAGCCATTCCATTGTAAAATAACCCGGATAGCCCACTCACCTCAGCTGTTTTGCAGATGGACAGAAGGTTGGAGCCACAAACCTTGCCAGGGAAAGCATTCCATGGGAGAACACCTAAATAAGACACAAAAATCAGCCAGGGTAAGTTTTATGGAGTTATGGGACAACATGGGGGCTTTCCCCAGAGCCCTTCTTCCACCTCTAATCGTCTTGGCTGTAAAGTTGGATCTTGTCAACAATCAGGATCCTCTTTTCTAAAGATTCACAAAAAAAGAGAAGATGGCATTGAACAGCTGTGAAATCTTGTGTTTGTTACTGAAATGTACTGCTTTGGAGTTGGGAACAGCAGTCAGCTAGAGTAGAGCAGCATGAATGGCCAAGAAAACTCCCACCACTTCCCAGGGAAGAAAACTCTCTAGTTTCAGTAGGGAAGGATCAACAAACTAAGACCCAGACATTCACCATCTTATATTTTTCCCACAATCACCACCCTCTTTACCCTAAGAAATGAGCCAAATATATAGTGCTTCCATAGTGGGTAGGAGAGCCAAAGCATCCTGCCCTAACTCACCATACATTCTGGCATCAGCACAGAGACTGCCTATACTGGCAGAGGTCTTGCTGGGGAAGGCAATAGACTGGCAGGTGGTCCAAGTGTTGAAGTAAATGTACACAGGCACAGCAGAGCAGGCAAACACCAGGAGCCACACAACGGTCAGGGCATAGGTGATGCCCACAAACTAAAACGATTGACATGGGGTAGTTAGAAATCAGCATCAGCCTGCAGACATTGGAACACAAACTGGGAGATCCTGGAGTGGCATATGCCAGACAATGAAACCAGATTTCAGCGCTCTCCCCCAATGACATTAGTGAGCAGGGCACCTCTGCCAAGTGTCATTGACAGTATCTACTAGAGAACTGGCCCCAAGTGTAACAGAAGGTTGGGGGAGTGGGTGAGGGTTGGAGTGAGGAGGATCCCAGAGTTAGAGAGGCTTCAGGGGATTGTGGGGGGGGCAGATAAGGTGTAAAGAAATCAAAACAGATCTTGAAAGAAAGTCGTGCCAATTTGTGCCTTAGGCGGAGCTTAGAAAATGTTCCTTGTCACAGGAACATTTTTGTTCCCTAGTCATTAAACAAAGCCAATAGGAGATTTAAATTTCAGACAGCAAAACCTTTCTAAGCTAACTGCTGGCCACAAAAAAACATTGCCACAGCACATACATGTTCAGCCCCCAAAAGATCTTTAACTCCAGAGACTGAAAGCTAATGTTTAACTTACTAGAAGTATGGATAGCTCTCAGACAAAGATATCACTTTCACTATGTAGATTTACTCTAATTCCCTCTGGGACCTCCAACAGTGTAGGATCCCAAAATATCATGAATTTCACCTTGAAGTCAATTATTTAATTTCTATGATCCACCCTCCCTCACAGATCGGGTGCCCAAGTCTCAATCCCATGAGCACCATTTCTGACTCTTACACAGTCAGATCCACTCATGTGGTCCCTGCTAGAAAGGGAGTAAAGAGATACCAACAGATGGCTTAGAAATGATCTGATTGTACAAAGCATCCCACGTAATTCATGCTTTTTATTTTATTTTAAGATGAAATTTTCTAGGGAATCTTTGAAAAGTGAAACTAAGCTGGCTGGGCACCACGTTCTTCCTGACCTTTTCGTTCGACTGTAGCCATCGCTTCCTCACTCAAAAGCCAGGGTCCAGAGAGGACCCAGCCTTGGGTGGGGATGAGGCCACAGACTCACGCCCAATTGTCCCCCACCCCTTGTTATTGCCACAAAATCCTGAGGATGATCACCTTGTCGGGATGTCCTAGCCATTTTCCCAAACAATGACACACCCGCTCCAAAGAATGAGCTTGATGTTGGCCTCTGGAACCCCTCCCCTTCTGGCCCCCTGTTACCGTTGCGCTCAGGCCCTTGCCGCAGATGGTGGTCTTGTAGTCGCCAAAGATCTGCCTGACTGCGCCGGTGGTGTAGAAGCCCTCAGCCAGCAGGAGGGCCCCATAAAGGAAGAAGAAAGAGGCAGTTCCATAGATGACATACTGGAAGGCATGGATCCTGTATTGACAGATAGACAAAAGAAACCAGAACGTCTTATTCATTGAGGACCCAGTTCCTTTCTTGCATAAGTGAGATACACACCAAAGCGGGCACCTTAACAAGGGTAGGGATTCTTTACAGAAACCACTGGATTCCTCCTGCATGCTTCCACCTTCTCTCCATTGAAGTAAATGAAGACAGGGAGCATGTGACCAGAAGCACATGCTCCTCCCCCAACACCTTGCTTACCCTATGACCTGGCGAACCAGGGCCCTACTCTCCTTGTCTGACCCTTCAGAGATGCTATCTCACAGGAGAGAGGAGCTAGACAAGAAGGAAGAGGAATGAAGGAATGGGAACCTAACTTATTCTAGGAATAAGAGATGCTTAGTAATAAGCCTGAGCAGATACAAGCAGTGTGTCAAACCAATAGCAGCGACCCCACTGAGTTCAGTCACTGTGCTTCCCCTGGGTTCTCCATACCTACTGATGTGGAGTCTCAAACTCAGGCAATATTAACCACACCTAACAGAAGTCAGAACTCATATGAGAGGGAAAAGAGGGGGTGGGAGGGGACTGGCAGGCAGGCAGGCAGACTCCCCCCTTTTTTTGAGTTGGGGTCTCACTCTGTCATCCAGGCTAGAGTGCAGTGGCACAATCACAGCTCACCACAGCCTTGACCTCCTGGACTCAGGTGATCCTTCTGCCTCAGTCTTTTGAGTAGCTAGGACTATAGACACACTCCACCATGCTCCACTAAGTTTTTAATTTTTTGTAGAGATGAGGTCTTGCTATGTTGCCCAGCTTGGTCTCAAACTCCTGAGCTCAAGTGATCTCTTGCCCCGGCCTCCCTAAGCGCTGGGATTATAGGCTTGAGCCACTGCCCCCGGCCAGACCTCCCCTTTTGAATCTAGCAATCTGTACACAGAAGGAAAAATCCAGAATCCTGTCTAGTATAGGCAATACTATACTTGCCTGTCTATACAGTCAGGCAACTGTAGTAGGTAGCTCATGCCACTTAGACCTCTCTGCCAGCCCTGCCAGCCCCTATTTATCTCCAGGATGAAGAGAGGGGAAGAAAGATGGGTCTGTGCGGGAGGGCAGATACTTACACATTGATGAGATACTCATAGTCCTGGTAGTTTTTAGAGAAATAGGTCTCAATTAGCTTTTCCGTGCCAGTGAGGGCTTCATGTCCACAGCCACAGAACAGTGCCACCCCAAAAAAACACAATCCAGTGGCCACCAGGGAGGCAAAAGGGGCTCCTACCAGACATCTTGCACAGCACTCTAACAAGCCTAGGGAAGAAGGAGGGAAAACAGTTAGACAAGTGTAGCAGGTAGCTCATGCCACTCAGACCTCTCTGCCAGTCCAGCCCACATGTTCACAGGCTCAGAGAGGGTGGACACCACAGAGTCCAAAAACAGGAGGGGCTAGAGGTTTTGGTTTTTGGTATGTGAGATTGACCCAAAATTTGTTTCATTCTTGAAAATAAATCCTTACCTTTAATTGCCAGAATTTATGGTGCTTTAAAAAAAAAAACACTAAGGCTGAGCGTGTAATCCCAGAATTTTGAGAGGCAAAGATGAGAGGATTGCCTAAGCCCAGGGGTTTGAGACCAGCCTGGGCAATTTGGCAAGACCTTATCTCTACAACAAATTAGAAAAACTAGCCAGGTGTGGTGGCACACATCTGTGTTTCCATATACTTGGAAGGATGAGGCAGAAGGATCACCTGAGCCCAGCAGGTTGAGGCTGCGGTGGCCATAAGCATGCCACTGCACTCCAGCCTGAGTGACAGAGTGAGACTCCAACGCAAAAAAAAAATTCAGTAATTTAAATAGCAAACCAAATCAGTCCCTCCTTTCTTATTGTTCTGGTCTATTTGTTTGTTTGCTTGCTTGTTTTAGTCATTCATCAATTATTTGTGAAAGACCCACTGTGTGCACTAGGTGCCACATGGGACATGAAGATAGGAAAGACACAGACTTTTCCATATGGGAGTCTTTAGTTTCCTGAGGAAGAATTAGCTAGATAGACCTAATATTTTCTTTCGTTCTTTCTTTCTTTCTTTCTTTTCCTTTTTTTTTTTTTTTTGAGTTGGAGTCTTACTCTGTCACCCAGGCTGGAGGGTAATGGCACACTTACAGCCACTGCAACCTCAACCTGCTGGGCTCAGTTGATCTTTCTGCCTCAGCTTTCCAAGCAGCTGGAGCTACAGGCACGCGCCACCATGCATGGCTACTTTTTTTTATTTGTTGTAGAGATGAGGTCTCGCCAAGCTGCCCAGGCTGATCTTTAACCCATGGGCTCAGACAATCCTCTCACCTGAGCCTCTCAAAGTGCTGGGATTATAGGTGTGAGCCACCACATCCAGCCAGACCTAATATTTTCAACTAACAATTCCAGGCAGCCAAGTAAGTGGTAAATGCACTTGGAGTTCCAGGAAGAGATGAGTGCAGGCCAGAGATGTTGGTGTTGTCAGATAGGATTTGAGTGTGAAGAGCATTTTAGGTAGAGGAAACTTTGAAAATTTCTTGTTCCTAGATATTCCTGAACATCATGTATATTTGTTACAAGGAATCCTTGATTCTTCTTAGTCTAGATATGAAGAGAGCAGGCCAAAGAGAAGGAAGGAACTGGGATAGGACAAGAAATGATAACAGGAGAATTACTAATATTCACAATAATAGAAATACAAGCTTAATGACTTTTGGACACTTCGTATAGCTGGACACGTCATATAACTGTTTTGTTCCCCCCCCCCAATACTGCAGTTTGGCTAATGTCTCCACTCTCAGTCCTACACTGAGATTCTGTCACTACAGTTACAAACAGACTTTATACAAAGTCAGTAAAGCATTAAATGTCTTTCTGGCACTAGGGAAACACACCAAGGTCTGGAAACACAGGTGTCCTAAAGTGCTAAAAGTCCCTGAGGTCTCCAGACCTGGTATCCCAGGCTCCATAACAGTGTTGCTGAGAAAAGGAAAGGCACACAAGAAGTCATACACTCTAAAAGCAGCTGTGTCCCAAGTGCTAGTCCCATGCTCTAAGGCATCATATGGAATGAAACTTAGCAAATGCCAAGTAGACGACTAGCTAGAGGGGGAAATGGATGGCTCCCTCTGGCCTCTTGGCCAGATCCCTAAAATGCAGAAGAAATGAAAATATTAAGCTCTTCAGACAAAAAAATTCTATACACACACATGCACACTAACTGATTTATATAATATATATATATAGTATACACACACATAAATAATCAGCAAATATGCTGGGAAGCTGCTATTTCTGAATAAGCATGTTGTGATTCCTTGTAGAATAAAAATAAATTGAATTAATTTCTTAGACTTGGATCTTTATATTCAAGCATATTTCCATGCCAAGCCCACTTGTCTATAGGGTACTAGGGGAAAGGGGAGTCCTTTGCCTGACCCTTTTAATACTAGTACAGTTTCTTTTTAGCCCTGAGTGTTTGAACACCTGGTGATTTGCATGGCTGAATTGCATCAATGTGAACATATTCAGAAGGACCAAATTATCTCTACCATGGGAAAGCTGAGGTAGAAGGAATTGCCTCTGTTCTCAGAGCCACCAAAGGAATGAGTCTTATTACACACCATCCTCTGAAATGACAGCCCTTCCCTGGCTTTCAAAGAGCCTCTTCTTCAAAGATCCTTATATGTCACACCAGAGATGAGGCTCAGAAGCCTAAGCCAAGCAAAGTAGCTCACATTTGCAGCTGAACTGATTTTCTTTTCTTTTCCAAGAACTGAAGCGATGCTGCCAGAAAACTTGGCCTTTATGAGAAGCAATCAATTTGTAGTTGTGCTGCCAGAAGTAGAGGCTGAGTTTACTCAGCATGAACTTTTTAAGACTGGTCCATGGTAGAGGGCATGTACCTATGCCTGCATGCAAGCATGTGTACAAATATGCACATACCCATGTGTATACGAGAGAGAAAAACACAACAGCTGAAATTGATTGTTGTGCTTAAGAAACATTCCAGAAATGAATCTTCCTCTTTCTCAACGGGTTAAGATACTAAATTCATCCTGTAAGTCAAGAAAAGGAGCTTAGAAGTCAACTATCCAACCCCTCCCCACCCCCAAATTCTTAAACTGTTCTAGTAAAGAAGATCTCTGAAGTCTGGGGGTGTGGGGAGAGGAAGGTCAGTGACCCCGCTGTTCCCTCTCTCCCCAGCACAAGGTCAGGGCTTGGACAGAACCCTCTGTAGCTCCCCTGGACAAAGAAGCCTTGTTCTTCCCTGAGATCTCAGGAGCCTGATTGGTATTCTGCAGGGACCCGCAGGCCTGGGGGTGGGGAGGGGGTTAGACCCAGAGAACAATGGCAGGACTGTTTGTTTAGCCTAGGGTAAGGAGAGGCATCCACCCTAGCAAGTGACCATCCTGGGCCCACTTACTCACTCTAGTATTTTCATCTTGGAAGGGCTAAATGGCTGTGCAGGTGTGATCAGGGATAGAGAAACTTGACCTCTTGCTAAAATCAACAGAGAATTCCACTCTAAAGTTTAGCTTGTTTAGCTTATGCACCTTCCAGGGTTGTAAAGAGGAGAAGGAAAATCCTCTTGAGTATATCTGATCCCTCAGTCATCACCTGAATAAACTTAGAGTGTCATGGGTAGTGTTCTAACTGGGTGACAAAGGGCTAAGCCTTGGGAGCAACTCTGAATATGATATTCTTTCTTTTTATATCCATTTTTCCTCTATTTTCTTAGTGCTCAGATAACTTAGCACCCCTGTTTCTTCTCTACTGCTGCCCAAAGCAAGGGACAAGAAGGACATAGGCTTTAGTGAATCTCTAATGTGGAGTCTGAAATAAATGCTTTTCGATACTTCACTATCACTATTGAGCTCAGTTCAATAGTTCAACAATATCAGCATAAACATCAGATGTCCATCTCTTCACAATCGAGATGAAATGTTTGTTCTGGGGGCATTTAAGTCCAGCAGAAGTGAAGAATTTCAGTCTGTCCAAGCAAAAATCAAATGATGGATTCTAACTGGAGAAAATTCAGAACATGCAAGAAATTATCTTTTCATCAAAGTGGTTGACAATCAGAACATTCTGAGAAAAGTCCATTGGGTTTGCTTTGATTTTTCATAGCCCAAGAAATGTCCTTGAGTATGTGTGAACAATAGCCTACAGCCACAGACTCTCCATTTCAGAACCCCTCCTGGTTGAAAGAATGTGGGATTGATTCAGAAAGGCTGGGAGGGATTCTGGAGAAGTTCCTTGGCTCTCTCAAGAGATATTCTCACATTTCCAGGCTAAGTACAGACTACGACATGGTAGAGTTGGCATAAAATAACTATATTGTAATAACATTTCCCAGTGCAACTAAATTGGATTAAACTGCTTGACTTTGATGAGAGGTCATAGAGAAAAATAATGACTCCCTCCAGTGTTTTCCTTTCATTTCTATTTATGTGAATTCAGTACAACATTAAGCACATTAACAGTGACATAGACACTAGGAAAAACAGAAGGGAATTATAAGACCCAGTTTTTTCTTCAGAGGACTTATAATCTTGTCAGAGAAAGCAAACTTATATGTGTAAACCAGAACCCAAAGCTACCTATAATCAAGTGTGAAAATGGATATAACCAAGTCCTGTGGACAAAATGTGAACAAAGGGAAAGATCTGTTCAGGGTTAGCTACATTTATCTCAGTCTCCTGAAACAAGTCTAATCAATCTATGATAGAACTTCAAGTCCTTCTCACCAATGCTCTTCACCAGGGTCTGACAGAGATCCACAGGACCAATGTGACTTTCATACAGATCCAGGTCCATCAAGGGACTGTGTTGATCCTGATGCTGTTTCTTTAAGCAGGCACCAAGAGCCCCGGACCCTCCCTCCTTTCCCATGCCCTAGGCACACCTCAACGACCAGATCCATTATAGAAATTCAGTGTGACTCTGGGAACTCATCAAAGGGAGGAGAGGAAGGGCTTTCATCGAAAGGAATGGTAGAAAGAGACGAATTGTACCCTGCACAATTCCCAGCCTGTCCCTTGAATTCAGCTGACAAAGGGAGAGATAGAAGAACCCTATACAATAGTGCTAAACAACAGGCAGGCTCATTGAGTGAGAAACTGGCCCCATCTCCCTAGGTCTCAAATCTGCACTACAGTCTTACCCTCCTCCCAGAACCCATCCCTTAACCTCACCCCATGAACAGAGGCCTCCTTGATCAGGGCCTACAGTCGTTGACAAGGCCAGGATGCTAGAGTAGCCGTAACTGGTACTAGGGATGGATAAGGATCAATGGGTGGGTTCTAGGAGTAAAACAACAATCATCAGGAGGGGCCAGAGACAAACAAAGACTTTTGCTTCTGGTCTTATCTTGGTCAGACAAAGTCCTGCCTATAATCTTGTCTTTCTTGTATGATATCAGCATTTATACCACATTCAAGTACTGGGAAGTAGCTCTGCAGCCGCTGGGCCTGAGAATCCAAGCTTGCTGGATAGTCAAGTCATGTGGACAGGTTAACTAAAAAGGAATCTCAGTCTTCTCTTTTGACAGATATTATTGCCATGGCAATAGCATCTGGATCATCTTGTTTTCTACACTCTCCACTCCTCTTCAGAAACACACACACTCACAGAAAAAGATAGAGGAGAGAGATGTGCACATGCCATTTTATGTGCAAATGCTGACAGGTTGAGGTAGGAGCTTGATTGTTAAAACCTGTCCCTGACACACTGTGTCTACCTTGCCCACTTATAAGACGATGAAAGAGAAATAACAACCACTAAAGATAATAGTAGCCATACCTTGTTCCTCAGGTTGGTCACCCACCAATTCCTCCTCTCTCCTTGGTTACTGTGAAGCTGATCTGGGTAACCTTATTCCCTTCCTTGGGATGTCACTGACTCATTTTCCAGAGCCCTGCCTGGCAGATAACTCAGAGGCCAGTGCAGAGCTTAAAGATAGTCCTTAGGACCATATTGCAATAGCCAAGAGGAATTAATCAATCAGTATTTGCTGAGTTTGTATGTAACTTTGGCACTGGTGGGACCTGGGACTGGAAAAGAAAGAGAAAGTTGCTCTGTTCACCTACTGATCATGCCACTGCCTTCACTTGATCTGTAGACCTGAAGTGCTGTGGGCAAGGAGGGCATTCCTCCCATTGCTTTCTTTCAAGACAAGAGCTATACCCAGAGGTTGGCTTTCAAGGTTTCAAGGTGATAGACAAAAAAGCAACCAGGGAAAAGATGCCACTGGTTGGGGTTCTACTTTATTGGGTTTGGAGACTGTATTTCCCCCACACACAACTCCCAGGGCTAAGGTTGTCACTACTCAGCACTGAGAAAGCAGTTCTAGTTGTCAGGCTGTTGGGTAAACTTCTAGCTTTTCTAGCTAAAGCCTAGAAGAAATACCCCCAAAGCAGTACAGACCTTTCTTTCCATCTGTGTAGCTCTCTAAGAGCTGCTAGGCTCTGTAGGGCTGAGGTGAGAAGTGGAGTGGGGAAGGCCATTCCTGATTATTTTAGTCAGTAACTCTAAAAAGAGTGAGTGAACCTGCTGGGTTGAATCTGGTTTATGTTTGCACATGGCATTCTTGTGGCATCCCCGCCATCTTGATAGGATTCAATTAGTCTTCAAGTGTTGTGTAAAACTGGACCCCTGCTCTGCCGCCACACTTTTTGCCTGTGCTACACCCACGTACACCAAGCCAGTTCAAGCTACACTGCTCAGCAAGCAGCCACTTTTAGAGGGAAGCATCACAGTCTGGTTACCAAGGTAACAGCCACTGTTGTAAAGCAACAACAGGCTTGCAGAAGCCAATGTTTTGCTGTTCAGTAATGGCACTGTGTTACTGAGCAGAGAATAATCATTTACTGCTCTTTAACTCCTTTCCGGTTCTATTGTTATCCCAAAGATTCATTTGAAACATTTCCCTTACAAATTGAGACAAAGTTTAATGCGTTACTATCATTTTACCATACACATTTTATACTGACACTACTGAATTTAATGTTCATCTTTGCTTCTGATCCTAAGGGATTCTATATGGTTGAAGTAGTAAACTTCCTGTTCCTGAAGGTGATTAAGCAGAGGCCGTATGAACGTTTAATTGGTTGTTGTAGAAATGAATCTTGCATTCGTGGTTGGCTCAGACAACTTCTAAAATTTCTTCCATTCTCAGATTCCATGATATAATTTGTCTGCTGCAATTGTTAAATAGCAACACACTCTGCATCAGAAGTAGTAGCAGTTCAGTACCTTGTTAGAGATGGTCTATAATTCAAAGTATTGGCGATAACTCTTAGTTACTGAAACTGAAAACTCAGTAGCTGCTCCATTATGAGTACCTGGTCCAAGTATTGCCCACTCCCTGGAGCTGGGGCCCAATACCTGTCCTCAGTGGTGTCCCATCTATAATTTCACCTGGAGGACATCATCCAGCTTTTAGAACAGGAAACTGGCCCTATGATTACCTTATTTGTTCCTGCCTTTCCTCAGGGATGTAATTTCCTAAGGATGTAATATTCAACATCCTTCTTTACTCCCTCTCTGCTATTAATGCACAGCCTACCCAATCGTTGCCCTGACATTAGATAAGGTTCCTGATAGGGTTCTTCAGGGCAAGAACTGAGCTCTCCCATAATTCATCTCTCACCTTGCCACACTTGGTCAAGTGATTCCAAGCACACAAAGTACATACAAATAAAATCCAACCACCTTGGAAAGAATAAGAATTGGCATGCATACACATTATTGTATAATAATTGGTATTACATGATTTACAATTGTTATAGATCTTGCCCATTTTCAAAGGGCTTCTACATCATTATTACTTGCATATTACAACTCTGAAAGTAGACAAATCAGTTATTGCTATCTCCATTTTCCAAATAATGAAGTGGTGATTCACAGTGACCTGCCCAAGGTAACACAGTTCATAAGTGGCAGCTCTGGGATTCATACACGATTGTTCTGACTCCTTGTCCAATGCTGTGCCCTCTTAACTGTCCTACCTGATTACATGCTTCAAAGAGCTCTCTCAGTGTTTCATGATGAAATAGCCTAAAGATCAAACCTGCTTAATATAAATGAAAACTGATCTCTGTGGATGTTGTCTACTGAGCACTACATTTGATGGAGAATTCATGGGACTATTGAGTCCCATTTCACTCAGGATACATTCAAGCTGCTACCCTTGTTCTGCCAAATAATAAGCAATGTCTACATGACTCTGTGGCATCCTATATGGACAAAGATTCTTGTGCTCCACACACCTTACTCTGAGTAGACACTCCCAGCTACCAGAGCTTCATAGCTTCTCTTTTTGTTCATGGAACCTAGAGAAGCCCTCAACCAACTCAGCAAGAGCCCTGAGTTTTCAGCAGCCACCCTGTCATAACAGAGAGCCCTTGAGAAGGCTAAGTCTGTGATATTTGCTAGAAATGGTAGCCCATATATGTGCATCACATGCACACATACCCCTACCCACCTTTGTCTCTCATGGTAAAGTCATTGAGGACTTTACTTTCATGTCCTGAACCTGAGAATGGTCTCCTCAGCTATGGTTAAGCTTGAGTCCAGCTTCACAGATTCCCCATCTTCCTATTGATGCCAAACATGGTCCAATGTTGGCATCAAGCAAGCACTTATTTTGTACATCTGAGAGTTAGCCAATACTCCAGAAGAACCAGGGGTGCCAGCAGATCCAGCTATTACCGGGGCCTTAGAACCAAGGGAAAAGAGAAGGTAGAGGGAAGTGAGGGGGTAGGAGGACACATGACCACATCCATCCTCCAGGGCACTTTCCAAGAATCTGTGAGACTCTCCATGTGCTGCTGGAATTCTCTGGCAATAAAGCATCATGCTCAGTATAGCAGAGAAGGAGTTAATCTAATAGAATGCTAAGGAATTAAAAAAGAAAACAAGGGCCAAAACACAAGTCATTAAAACCACAGGAAACTCTGAGCCCCAAAGTTGGAAATTCTCTTGTGAATTCCTGTGCCTGCTCGAATCTTCAATGCTAAAGTTTTGGAAACTCACCCATGTCTTTGGGACTCTGACTCCAATTGTAGCCGGCTGGCTAGTCTGCTATGCGGCTGACTTTGTTCAGCTGGAAGGATCCTGGTCTCTCCAGTCTCCTTCTTCGGTCCTTTACTTTTTCTCGCTGAGTATCTTTGTCCTCTTCTCCTGCAATGAAAAGGGCTTTCTGATTGACAGCCAATCCCCTTAAAGGAACAGGCCTGTTTTCCTCCTCTTCTCCTCCTCCCTTTCTCCTCCCCTAGTCCCCACCTCCTCAGGGATACTCCCTTCTCTGAGTGCTCCATCTTCTCTTTCTGGCTTTCACTGCCAATTGTTTCATTTTCTTTTCTTTCTTTTTTTTCCCTTGTTTTCCCTAAGGCTTTCCTGGAATTTCACTTTGCTGCAGAGACATCTGGAAATGTGGATTGGGGATAGAAATAAAATGAAGAGGTCCTGGAAGCCTCCAACTTATCCTTGGGTCTATTTGGTGTGCGATGTGGCAGCACCAACATGAGAAGCCATGAAATTGGGAGCCCTGACCGGGAGTCAGGGTCAAACACCTAGATGCTATCTCTCAGAGTCCTTCCAAATCTGTCCCAGCCCCCCATCACTCCAAGCCACCCTTGGTCCTGCCCAACTTTCTCTTCCCCCCAACTCCAGGGCAAATAAGCACCCTCCCACCCACACACACACCACCCAACTCTAGAAACACAATAGAGAAGAAAAATGTGTCCTTTAAGATAATTTCCTCCAAATCCTTCTCTGTCTCAACTGAATGAGGACAAGATGCAAGCCATTGATTCCACAGTCAGATTGTGACCAAGCTGGGGAAAGCTAGAATTGTAATAATTTTATAGCTAGGATAACAGAGACTCAGAGGGAGGCAAAACCTGTGCAGGTTCACAGAATAGGCTAAAGAAAAGACCAGGATCAAAGATATGGGTGATTTTCAAGGAGGATAAATGACTTTGAGACAAATCAATAACACAATCTGGGAATTAGGTAGTCAATATTCCATCCTGAGAATGTGATATCTTCATCAGAAAGCTGAGGCCAGGCTGGCAAGAGGCAAGGAATGGGTCGCAGTGAAGCAGCGGGTGGCAGCTAGGATAGAGAAAAGGAGGAATGAAATATAGTCGTCGCTTCAGAGAAAGAAACACTGAGAAAAAAAATGGCCAAGCAACAAAAACGGGGAAACACTATATAAAATCTGCCTCACCAATAAGTTATTTCTAAAGACTGTAAAGGTATTTGAATGCCTAGTGCTAGGTGGGATTAACCTGGAAAGGTTTTCTAGAGCCAGTGAGCTCCTTGTCAGTGTCCTCTCTTCAAAAGTCTCAGAGAGGCACAGCTCTCTTGACCTGGAGGCCAGCATTCTCCCATGGATGGCCTTTAAGGAAACTGGTTGACATGTAGCAGGAGGGGGACCTGTTGGAAGACTCCAAGGAAGGAAGGTATGGTCTCCCAGAACTTTTCCTGTCGCTTTGCTTTGGGGAAAGGGAGGAGGAAGCTACTGAGAAGAGCCTCCAACCTTCTTGTTGGGGGAGAGAGGCAAAATTGTGTCTTACAGTTTTCTCTTTAAGCTGTGACCTTGGCCACATTTCCAGCTTGGGCTCTGCTGTTCAGAAATGGGTGAATCTTCGGCAGATGCCCCTGTGGGGTCAAATCCTGCTGTGTTTGAGGCTTGCTCAGCGTCCTAGAAATCTAGGTTCTCTGCTCTTATACCAGCCCCAAGGAGAAACCATCCATGGAAATGTCCCTCGCTGAACAATATAGCAGTCAGTAGCTTTCCAGAGCATACTAAACTAAAACCACATGACTGGTGAAAAAGGATCCTAGGGCCTCTGCCCTCCCCAGCCCTGCTCTCCAGCCATAGACTTGTGCCTGCTGTAGAAAGTCAGTTATAGGATTGTGCCAGCAATAAACTTCTGGATGGTCATTGTCAGAATAGCTCTGGACAAGGGGGAGGACCAAGAGCAAGAAGTCACCAAAGTGTGAGCTGAGCTCATTAGATGGCAGAAGGAGCTGAGCTCAAACTTGAGGGGTTCTGATTTAGGAATTGAGAGAGACGATCCTTCAAACAGATGAGACAGCTCTGCAGGCAGGGGGACTTCCTCAGACCTGGCCCTCACAAAAATATTCCCCTGGCTTCTCAGCAGCAGCTTTAGGGACAGCTAGGCTACTCAGAAGAAAATGTGTGTTCCCAATAAACTCAGTTACCAAGTTACCAGCCACATTCCCCTAACACACATTTATCTTCACCTTTTCTCTCTCTTCGTGTTCTTTGATGAAGCAGATCTTGCCTCTGCTTTGTTCTTATGCCCAGGGTGAGGAAAGAGGTTCAGCCAGGTGACTGTGTCATGCCCACTGTCCCCAGTGCCCTAAGATTTCCAATCCCTGGGCTCTAGTGTGCTCCAGGCACTCTGTACATCTAACACTCTGCTTGTTCTCAGAGTGTTCTCAACAATCCCTACAGCCCTCATAGGGTTTCTTTCTAAGTCTTCAAGAGGCCATTTTTATCCACCCACCCCCAACCTATTTCTGTGATTCTACATCCATTGGTTCTGCTGGGTGCCCTTGGCAAAATGTTCTCAAGTCCAGCTGGGCTCCCAGCAGTGCCCAGGGATTCCTCAAGAGGGCACTGCCAGCCTTCTTGGTGGCAGCCTGCTGCCTGTACTGAGTGCCTGTGGGAACAATGCAGAATTGTATGAAACTCGTAAACAGTTTGTTTCATGTAATTTCGATGGTACCTCAGAGAATCTAAGCCTTCTTAATTATAACTTGGTTTGGTTGTGCAGTTTCTTGCAAATAACTCCAAAACATTTGGATCTTATCTCCACCCTCTGCTCTGCAATCCTGTATCATTAGACTCTTGAAGGCCACAGAGCAAGTGGGGTCGCTTTGCTCCATTGTGTAGACTGAACTCTGAAACTCAGAGAATTTCTGCCAGGAAATTAGATAAAGGCTCAAGTACCCAATCCGGTGGTCCAATTTTCCCTATCCATATAGATCATAAGGGGAGAAAGAGAAGGCACAGTACCACTGAGAGCCTGGGGTCACTTGCTGGCATTTGGGCTTCTGTAGCCAAAACTCTGCTTCTCCTTCCTAAGATAACGTCTTCCCAGACCAAATTTGGGAAGGCAAATGGATGCTTCTTACAGCATTTCTAACCCTTACATAAAAAGCTGGCTGGCAGGCAGGAAGTATATTATGTCCTATGTACTTGTGACTAGAATTTTTCACCTCCCAACTTCATGGTAATTGGCTAGGCTATGACTTTCTGGCCAAGAGAACGGAGGTCTGAAAGCCAGAGATGTCACATACTTTGAGCTGGTGTGGGGTGGCTGTGGGAGAGTAGAGGGTACTCTTCTGCCTCTCCTGAAGATTCAACCAGCAGTGTGAGGATGGATGGGGCAGGTGATTAATTGAATGTATAGTTGTGAGAAGGAGATGCTCATGACTTGGGGGTAAAGTAAAAAGTAACCTAGAAACCAAAATAATCAGATGAGTAAACTCAGGAGAAGAGTGCCTGAAGGAGTACCATATAGCTACTAACAATGTGGAGAAACCAGCAGTCCACAGACTCCACCTCCACCACGATGAAAACTTGGCCTGGCTGGACATGGTGGTTCATGCCTATAACCTCAGTACTTTGGGAGTCCAAAACAGAAGGATTGCTTGAGCCCAGGAGTTTTAGACCAGCCTGGACAACATAGTATCTACAAGAAAAAAAAATCAGAAAAATTAGCTGGTCGTGGTGATGCGCACCTGTAGTCCCAGCTACTCAGGAGGCTGAGGAGGAAGGGTCACTTGAGCCCAAGAGTTTAAAGAGAACCCAGGGTGAGCCATGATCATGCCACTACACTGCAACCTGGGTGACAAAGTGAGACCCCAACTCAAAAAAAGAAAAGAAAACTTGACCAGTTTTGGCAGGGTGTGCCCCTGCAGAGACAATGTACACTTGATATGCTCTCTGAGCAAAGAAGATATAAGATTACTATCTTTGGCTGTCAAATACTTACCTGACTCTGGAAGACCAATATTGTTTGTTCCATGTGACTGCTGGAATACAGAGACAGTTTTTCCAATGTCACTCAGTAGGCAAGAGACAGAGCCACCTCTAGAGAATGCCTCTCTCTAGACTCACTGCTTGAAAGTTGCCTGGAAGATTGTTCTGCTGTGAAAGAATGTTTGAATAGAGAGTCTCTGCCTTGAGCGAGAACAGCAGGGGAAGAGAGAATGGACAGGATTCAGGCTGCCGTGGCTCAAGTTTCCAATCTTCTATACTTCTCAGACGAAGTAGGAGGTCCATGTTCAAAACGAAGGGCAGAGACAAGTTTCCTGCAGTTTGCAGGATCAGTGGGATTCCAAATCAGTCAGTGGACGTCAGGGAATATTTGATGATATTAAGGGCTTTTTTGTTCGATTTGTTAGGTGTAGTACTATCACAAAGTGATTATTTTTTTTAAAAAAGGTCTTTGTCCATTGAATATGCTTAGAGAAATATTTATAAGGAAAATATCATGATGCCTGGAGTTTCCTCTTTCCAGAAAAATTTAGTAACAAGGTTAGATGAAATAAAATTGGTCAAATGTTGGTAATTATTGAAGATGGGTGATGGGTACATGGAGGTTTGTTATACTATTTTCTCTAGTTAGTGCACGATTGAACATGAGATCAGAAAAGCTGAGTCATTAAAGTTAAGCTTCAGACTAATCCAGAAAGCATTTTCAAGATATTTCTGGAAGAATGCTTACAGCCCGGTGAGAGTGGCCGTTTCTGGGGGAGGAGACTGGGGGTTTTGAGTAAGAGGGGGACTTTTCACTCTATGCCCTTTAGTATGGTCTGGAATTTATAATTTTATTCATTTCTGGCTTCATTAAAAATCTCATTTGAAAAGTCCTTCAGGCTGCGTTGAGAGACAGTAGTGTGCAGCCCCCTCAGGTTTGCTCCACTATCCTCAGGTTATTGACGCCCTTGCTGTGGCAGGTTGGCCAGATTTCACTTCGCACACACGTTCTGGTACACCCTTCTTCTTTCCATGTCTCTGAAACACTGACTTATTGTGAAACACAGACTGTCCCTAGCCTCAGGAGAGGATTCCCAGGAACTTCTCCAGAGACACAGCCGAATTAGGAAGAGGAATTGCTGCTCCTGCCCTGTACCCTGTGAAAGAAGACATGAGCCCTTGAAAGCCAGAAAAGTCCTCAGTCCCAGAGGCAGCCTTC